TCATATTTTTAGCGATTACTTTTAGAGAAAACTCCTGGCCGTTCAAATTCGACTCATGATTTTTTTGTGAAATGTTACAGTTTTCTGCAAATTCTAAAAAATTAGACCGATCGTCTCGCAAAACCAATCAACTTAAGTTCATTTCAGCTTTCATCGAATGATTTTAAACTTTTGAAATCAGTTCATCAGCTGTTTTTGAGAAATCTTTGAGTAACGGTGAAATTTAATTCACATACACACTCGTATACTTTTTCCAATTTTAATACGAAACAATTCAGAATGATTTGAAATGTCGAGAAAACGTAAAATTCACGATGGGAATTTTCTGGTAAAATTTATATTTCGCCTTCGGGAAGTTAATACAAATTTCACTAAATTAAACTATCTTCAGATTGTAAGAGTCTCTGTAGCTTCTAGAACATGAATAGTTTACAAATACCCATAAGTATCTTTAAAAACTTTGTTTTCGAACAAATATGTCAATCTAAAATTAATTGTGTTTTAACTGAAAGCTAATAATATGATTCATTAACAATTATTAAAACAATTTAAGAGATATAACTTTTATTAACTTGCCGGAACAAGTCTATTGATGTATTAGTCACAAAAAATCAACATCAAAATAAGCTTCATCAAAAATAAAAGCAGAAAACATTAGCTGGATGTTTAACCCACTATAAAATATTACAGATAGCCCTCATTTCTCAGTGATCTTCATTCTCCATTTTTATTCTACTATATACGAAAATTCAAGTTGAGCTTATATTGACTATATTTACTAAGTTTGAAAATTTTTAGTGAAAACGACTTGCTAAAATCTAAAACCAATATGTTCAGTTTTTCATTCAATTTTTCAATTAATTTGCGTCAATCCAATGGTTGTCATTCTCAAATCGTAATGATGTTTTTAACTTTCTGCCCATAAGATCTCCTGATTTTGTTTGATAAATATTAATCGGACAGATACTTGTATATGAATTTTCTTTCTATGTTATTCAAATTGACAATAAATAAAGTGAGGAGACCATATTTTTCTAGTTCAAGTCTCTTAATTGATATGCACAATTTTATTGGTTCATTTTTTGTGAAAATAGAAGTTTGTGTAAATATAATAGAAATAATGAAAATAAGAACCTTCTAAAAAATTCCAGACAATCCGGGGCAAAAAGGTAACCGTAAGTCGCAAATTGGTCAGGACAGTCCCGTCGTCCAAGTTTTTTGAATCACCGTTTACCGAAATAACCGTTTACCGAAATACCGTGTAAATGATATAATGTGAATTTACCAGAAAATTTGTATTTTCCATTTTTTGTTGCAATTTTAATAACTTTTTTTCACACGGAAAGTTATAAACATAAAATGTTTATAAAAAGATTATTAATTAATCGAATTATATATATAAATAAATTAAATTAAAAGGTTATTAACTAATTAGCATTTCTTATGCAATGATATCAGTTCTAATTGAATCTATGAGTATTTTGAAAAATATGATGTATTGAGATAAAATGCAAAACTTAGTAAAGAAATGTATGCATATTGTTAAAATTTCATTTGAAATTAGCATTTGATTCTTTAATGTGCATATATTACTAAACTAATTTTTAGCATCAATTGTAATTTTTAGCACTTTTTTCTGTTAATTCTAAACTTTCTCCGGCTGGACCTACTTTTTACAAAACGAAATAAATTCGTTTTGTCAATACAAATCAAATATTTTGAATCAAATAGGTTTGAAACGTTTTTCCAAAAATATTATAAATATCGTCCCTTTACATGCATTATTTTCGTTTATTTGAAACTTCAAAAATACCTATGGAAAGTTAGTAATTTAGTTAAGATTAGAAAATGTTGCAATCAAGTTTCTGAGATCTATCGTTGTTCGGTGAAGTTTGGTATGATAGACTGTTTTACAAAATTTAAAAAAGTACCTATGGCATACTTTCTAATAATGAATCCATATTTATAGTAGCGTGCATTTCAAATCAGAATCGATGAACAAATGTTCGACATCTACAAGATAGAAACCGGGATACAACAAGGATATGTGATTGTTTCACAAACATCAGACGGTAGTTCCTGCTTACACAAACCTTTTCATACCTTATTATTGTAATCGAAAAACGAATATATAATAAATACTTTGTACAGTTTCTCAAGCAAAAGTTTAACGATTATGGATCGATCATGAATAGATTTAAGAACAAAATATGTTTAACATACAAATGCTATAACAAATCAATAGATAGATCAACAGATCAATAGTTTATAAAAATATGTAACACAAGATACTATAAAAGCGTCGGCTCTTTAATATACAAAGAACTCATTGTCAGAAAACCGCCCTAATGTGCTATTAGAATATATTTATTTATTTTACAAGCCGTCAGTATAATGATATTATAATAAGGCTCAAGTCAATATTTTGCAGTTTAATATAATTTAATTAACTGTTAACTATTTTATTACTTGTTCATTTATTATTTAATTTATTTACAATACACTTATTTATATTTAGTTAAAATATATTAATTTATATCAATTAATATCAATTCAAAATAAAATATTATCTAGGTGCAATTGGCATTTTGCCTTGGAAAGTTCCTAAAAATGTTCAATGTGTGTATCGACTTAATCCAATTAATACATAAGAAGTAAGATTTCTCTACTTTTAAAACTTAATTTTTAAACCGCTCATTATTCCAAACTTTGATGATGTTTATAAATGAGCCATTTTTCGTAGACCAGAAATGTTTTATTTCAATTTCAATGTTAAACGATTCAGAACTGACTCTAAAAGTTGAGATAAGATAAAATTATCAAATCGGATTTTCTTGCAAAAACATAAATTCTACTTCGGGAAAATAAAAAAATGTCGTTTTCAACCACTAAGATCGTAGTTATATTTAGTTAGTTAAATGTAATTAAGAAATTCACATTTAATAATATAATTTTCATTGCTTGATTCAAAATATTTTAAAATAGGGTAGAGCGGTGCTTGAAAGTCCGCGAGTAAAAATGACCACCACCGATACCTCAAAAACAAGTGAAGTTGAGAATTTTTTAACAACAATATTTGAAAGTAGGAGGAAAAAAATATATAACCAGCCATCACCTTAATTCTTACGAAATTGTTATCGGGAGATAAACGGCAATGTTTGACAATCCATAACAAAAATATTTTCTTTCGTTGTTATTTGTTTGGCTGCGAACATTGTTGTTTGGGAAATTGTAATTTACGAAATCTTATTATAATTTTTAAGTATATGTTATTTAATTGTTTATAGATTCAACAGTTTTTTATATAACCGTTATAAAAGCTTACACGTATGTGGGGTAAAAAGTAACAACTGGCAAAGAAATAAACAAAAAAAATAGTTAATGAAAACCTAAATTAAGGTAAAAAAGCAATTTTAGAAGAGAGATAAATTAAATAAATAGATGAATATTTCTGACAAAATACCAAATCAAGTTTATATACAGTGTTGTCTCTGTAAAAAATGTATCCAGAAAATTTATATTTTGCATTAATATAGCTATTATTTTGTAAAATCCCTTTAAAATTAAAAATAAGGCATTGGACCTGTTTGCCCTATGGCCGTCCCAATTTACCTCGCCTATAGGGTAAAAAGGACCAATTTTTTGACAATGATGAATTAGCTGGGAGTTTTACTGAACATAGTCATAGAGTTGGTACTTTGATATGTGTTATTTGTTGTGGTATAATTGATTTGGTTTTCACAATATAATTGCTCAACGTCGAATTGGATCTTTGTGCCCCGCCCTACCCTACTCGTTATTTATCAAATATAGTAATGTTTTTTGTTAACTATTTAACATATGTTTGCTTATTACCTTTATATTTACGTACGAAGAAGAGACTTTACCGACTTCCACAACTAATAACATCCGACATAAATCTATTCTGGCAATATACTCTATACACTAAATAATACTCTGTCTTTTATATATAACATTTACTTATAATTATTCATTGATATTACGGAACTCAAGCAAAATGAAATATGATTTAACAACGAGACCCATGACACTATTTAACTATATATCAAGAAAAGCAAAACATTTATCAAAAAGCCCTGGTGCCCTTTAGGCAAAGCCAGTACAAACATGACCCCACAGAACGGATAATGACTTTCAAATTGGCCTATGTATACATTTTAAGAGTTGCATTAAGATTATTATTTATTATCCGAATTCAATGCGCAATATTTATGACCGATTATTGATCAATTACTTCAAATTATTCCCGATATAATAATAATTAAATATAAACATTTTTCATATACATTGCATAACTCATTATCTTCAGTTTACATTAATATTTCTAGCAGTTACGATAACATTTCTAGCAAAGAACCATTGCTAGTAATATTGCGTCTTTTAAATTCCTGGTATTTTCTGATTGCCTTCTCGATAAAGCTATGCAACATTTTTCGGATCGTTCCTGGTAAGTTTTAGTATCCAAATTCTGTATAAATATAATGCAAATATTCAAACAATAATAGCATGAATCATGTTTTATAAAACATTGTTAATTTTGAAAGAAGTTTATAATAATTTGAAGTGTAAGTTAATGAAATATTAAGTGAAAACTATTAAGTGAACTTCATTATAAATAAGTGGGAGTCAATTAATCACGTCAATTGATAAGGGGGAGAAGTCCAACAAAAAATTTCGAAATATCACGTGGCGCAGGGGAGAGTCTATTAAGATATCACGTGTATTTATTCTTCACCTGAAAAATCCGGAAATTTAACGTTTTTTCTAGGTACTAAAAATACACGTAATGTATCTTGAGGAAGGGCGGATAATTTTAAATATCACCAAGGGGGGAGGAAAGGTTCAAGAATACTTGAAAATCGATCACGTGATTAATGAATGCCCCCTAAATCAGATATACAAGAGATTACAGTAAAACCCTGTTAAAACAAATTCTCAGGAATCGTGCCACAAACGCGTTTTTGTTGTTATAGCGTATTATGCGAGATAGGGTTAAGAATAAGTGGCAAATAAAGAGTCGTCTTAACGGGGTTCTACTGTATGTAATAATTTTATATTTTGTTCAAAATGTAATAAATTTATACTGAAATAAATATATTAACACAACATATTTGAATTTCAGTTTCGACAGCAATAAGTCAACTAAAGGTGCGTCAAAGTTAAGACGAGACTTGATTAATGCAGAAATAGCAAATTTACGAGATTTGATACCACTACCGCCCTCTACCAGGCAGCGTCTTAGCCAGTTGCAATTAATGGCTCTTGTTTGTGTGTACGTGCGCAAGGCCAACTACTTTCAACAAGGTTATTATATAAATTTTATTCTGATTGTTTACTATTTATTTGTTGTAATCAATTATTTGTATTCTTAATAAATCAGTAAGCATCGATGCAACATAAAAATATCAGAATTACCTTACAAAAGAACAACGGAAAATATTTTTCAGTTTTGTTTTGAATCTTTTACCTTCGGATAGAGTCATTACTCATATACAATTATATGTTATATATATAATTATTATATATATATATATATATATATATATTTGTATGTATGTATGTAAAAATGCATGCTTCTCCTTCCTTGGAATGATATGCGTGATTAGTAATTACTTTCCAAATTCTGAAGTTAGCTATTTTGCACAACGTATATATTGTATTTATATGTTATAACAAAGATCACAAAGTAATGATAATCAATGATTCACGATGATGCACATATCTTAATTATATTATAGCACTTAATCTACAAGATAATTATATTGTATAATATCATCGTATACGAACTGTATAATGGACCGCACATACATTCTAAAAATCATATGCGTACTCACTCATATTATAATCATATTATAATTTTTATTACCTACAAATGAATTTTACATGCATATATTGTTACCGAACAATTTGATTTAATTTATCAAAGTTGAAAAGGCTTACTACTGAATTACCATTCAAAATTTGAACTGAATGTCTTCTTTTCAACTTTGTCTTTTATAGAGACATATTGTAATTTAATGAAGAAAAAAAAGTTTCTCAAACCAAAGTTTTTAACGATCGTGGATTGATCATGATTATATTTAGGTCACAACTTATGAGTAACAAATAAATGCAAAAAACAAATCGATATATGACCAGAAAGTATGAACTATTTTAAATAAAATCAATAAATTTATCTAAATATATTACATTTATAAAAGTAATAGTGAAAGAGACCATAGTCGGCTCTTGAATATACAAATAACAACTTACCAGAAAACCGCCCTCTTGCGCTATTAGAAGAAGTCAATTCAAAGCTAAGTAAGTGTAAGTGGCATCTTTCCTTAAAGCAAGTTGCAAAAAATCGATATGTATAAATAACCGCTTAAGTAAAAATTGAAGTTTAACAACTTGACGATAAAATTTTGATTGTAAGATGTATATAATTTAATTATGTCACAGCACTCAATCTACAAGATAATTATATTATTAACATATGCGAACAATATCGGCATATAAGAACTCAAGAAACGTGCATTTTTTAACACAGGACCGCACTTACATCCTAAATATCATATGCATACTCAGAATCGATATAAAATTATAACGATTTTTTACTTTCAAATCTTATAAACCTTGTTATCCAAAAAAATAGAGATACAAAATATTACAACATAATCAAATTGCAGTTAAATCAGTTTTTATAATATGTATTCGAAATTTAACACCGTTGGTGTTAGTATTGTTCTGATACTTTTATTGGCATATAAACGTTTTTCAGTAATAAAAAACACAATAAAGTGAGAATGCGTATATGATGTATCACTCTTTAATTTTTTTGTTCGAATTTACTTTTAATGTTCTATCTAAATATTCTAGACAATTTGGGAAAAGTCGAGTTGTTACAAAAAAACATTACAATGAAATGGGATTATGCAATTTTCTATACGTTTTATTATTTATTCCCGCATTTTTATTGGACATTTTTACAGCACCCTGGTTTATTAATAATGATTTTGTTATTACGATAACCTCAACTTCCCTCAAAATGTTATCAAGAGTAACAGTAGGGGAGACTGCGTACGGTTGTGGCTTTTGGTTCAAATGGTAATATGTTAAAACGGATAAAAATAGGTTGAAAACAATAACTATAAACACCAAAATAGTTTATAACGCTTTTTATTGTCGTTAATAATAATAATATGTAACACGATAAAATATAACCAGTTAAACAAAACCTATGAATAAAATATAACAATATAGAACAAAACATATTTTTTTTTTTAAAATTCTTTATGAAATCATTTTAACTTCACGTAGGGTTGTTGTAGTAATCGCAAAAAAATCGAAAATGAAATTTTTTGCATATCTTCTGCAAACATTTTGGCATTCCTTAGAAAAGGAATCGACGACGATTTCGGGAATACGGATCAACCGATTTGGATAATTCAAAAAACATTCGTTTCCTATTGAAGATTGGAACTGATTAGTTTTTGGCGAAAGCAGGTCCAGCCGTTTCGAAGATATGGGACAAAAAGTGCCAAAAAAGGAACTTCAGTTTTTGAGACAACGGATTGTCTGATTTGAATGAAGAACTGATTAAATTTTTGGCAAGGCAGGTCTAGTGGTTTCAGAGATCCAACGAAAATAGTAAAAAAAAATGCTGTTTGGCGGTCAAAAATGATAACTTATAGAGATTTTAATAATAAGTACAAATTTTGTTTACATTACTATGGGTTCCGTACCAATGTTTACGATATTTCGTATCTACGCAGCTAAAGCATTACTTATAAAAAAGTTCAACAATTTCAGAAATTTCAAAATATTTCAAATTAAAAAAAAGTCAATTTTTTCAAAATTTTCAAAACTCTCACAGAACTATTTTTTTCCAAAGTTAAAGCTTTTTTAAAAATTTTAATTTTTGGTACGACAAATTCCAGCAATTAGCCTTAATACACGATGCAATGCTCCACTAGTTTAGCTCATAAATCTGACATACCAATAATTAGTGCGAAACTTGTTTTAGTTTTGAGCTGTTCGAATTCTCTTTATAGAAATGTAATATTATCTAACCGTCACAATCGCACTATATGCATTAGTAATCAAACAGGTCAAAGACTACATGTCCCTGTTCATAAAAGTTAGACGTAGGATATCGAAAAAAAAATTACATATCATTCTCATGATTTTGAGATATATATGATTCAAGACAGGGCACTGAACAATAGACAGAGATTTTAACGATTTCGATAGAGTTTGATGACAGAGATAAATCATCAAATATTTCTCAGCGCTGTTATATATTCAGATCGGAAAGTTTGTAGTTGACTTGTACTTATGCTCGTTGAATTCCTAAATAACTTTGTATCGTTTTTTTTAATGATAATAATTACATTATGTTTATTTATTTTATTAAGCATCATGCAAAGTAGCCTCATCTGAAATCAGTTCTCATATATTCTGCATATTTTACAGGTACCTCTACTCATTTAGCATTTTCATATACAAATCCATAACAAATACTTCGTTTTATTTACTTTTACGTCATATTTACCAAGAATATAATTGAAATATGCTGGATGTAATATATTACGCTACTCTCATTTTACATTTTATTTAAATATGTTTAATGTTTACATACAGTGGCATTTCCATATTATCGCGACAATACGAATGGTGTCAATTTATATATTCTTGCTATATGTGTTTTACTAATTTCTTACATAAACTTTATAAATTATATTACAAAATATTAGAGCCTGTATCACCAATAGTGAAATGAATTCTTGGTAAATGTCACAAGAATATTTTGTTATAAAACTAAATACATCACTTGCAAAATATTTTAACGTCATTAAACAAAATTATATTTTAATTAAATTTTCTTAATTAATTCATTTTTCAATAATACAGAGCAGAATGTGTTCTCACAATGAAAGTAAATACATCAATTGCAAAATATTTTAACGTCTTTAAAGAAAATTATATTTAATTTTTTTTTTAATTAATTCATTTTTCAATAATGCAGAGCAGAATGTGTTCTCATAATAAAAACTTCTATATATTATATATATTTATATATATATATATATATATATATATATATATATTAGGGTGGTCTTTAAAATGGTCATTTTCGAAATTCCTTGCTCCCAAGGGCTCAAATGGTTCCAAATAGATAAAAAACAATTCTCTGAAAGTTTTAGCTCTTAATATTAACGTTTAGATAGAGCGCAATTCAATCAAAGTGTTGTATGGAAATAGCATAATTTTTTTTTCAAAAATTTAAAAATGTTTTTTAGATGTAATTTAGTGAACAAATGAATGAATAAAACTCATTCATTTATCGCTAAGTTATACCTAAAAATTTTTTTTTAATTTTCAAAAATTTTTCCATGCTCTTTCCATACAAACTTTAATTGAATTGCGCTCTATCTAAACGTTAATATTAAGAACTAAAACTTTCAGAGAATTTTTTTTTATCAATTTGGAACCATTTGAGCCCCTGGGAGCAAGGAATTTCGAAAATGACCATTTTAAGGACCACCCTAATATATATATATATATATATATATATATATATACATATAAATGCAAAACTGAATCAGAATCTTAAAATAAATAACAATAAATTCTTGCATAATTCATTGAGAATCAGTTAATATTAAACAAATCATTTTATTACAAACTACATTTATTTATTTTTAGTTAAAGAAATTTGATATGTTTAATCCTTTTATTTTTACATTTCTTCACGTTTTGAAGGTTTCTGAGCATTTTGGCATACCTCAGAAAAAATTGATGTGTGTGTGTGTGTGTGGATTCAAATTTTCCTCCACGTTTTCGGGCGCACGGATCAACCGATTTTAATGGTTTAAAAACATTCGATTACTATTGATAGGGAGATGTGCTCATTAGTTTTTAGCAAAGGCAGGTACAGTGGTTTCGAAGATACAATGCATAGAGTGCAGAAAATAGTAATCGAGTTTTTGCGAGAACAGAGCATCCGATTAGAATAATCTAAAAAACATTCAATTCGTAATGACGGAGAGAAGTGGTGATTAGATTTTGGCGAAGGCAGGTCCAGCCGTTTCGGAGATACCGAGCTAAATGTGCAAAAAATAGCACTCAAATAGTTTTTGAGAGAATTAGGCATCTGATTTGAATTATTCAAAAAACTTTCTGCTTGTTTTGACAAAATAATTGCTTTTGGAAAAAAAATATTTCAAATTTTGTTTTCAAATTTTTTTTTTGTATATCGAAAATAATTCAGATTTTAATTTTATTTTGGCTAAAAATCTAAAGCTCACTTATATACTTTAAATAAATAATTTTAACTTTGTAATTCAGTTTATATAACTCTTATAAATATTAGTTCATGCTACAGTATTTATAATAATCTATGTGAAAACATTTAATATTTCTCGAATATATTTCGTTACGGTACGGGAAGTACCAGCAATTTGCCTTAAGGCATGATGCCACACACAACTAGTTATTGATTGATATTAATTAATATATTATTTCAAAATAAAAGGATTGATCTCAGAAATCTAATATGTCATTGCTGGATTTGAACCACATTTTACAATAAATGATATTTTGTTACTTTCAACGTATGCTTTGTATTATCATCCTGTTGAAATTCTACCCATTTTAGTTTTTTTACAATTAATTGTCGTCATTACAGCTGAACAATACTAATTTGAGATTTGAGATAGGGTCCAAAGAGAGAAACGTGAAGTATGTTTGTTCGAACACGTTTCCATTATCGCATTCAGTCATTAAGATATAAACCATTCTGGGTGTTTATATCTATTGTTTTTTAACCCAATTTTATGCATGTCACTACCGTCCTGAGGGTGTAGACGGCACATATTTTAAATTTTTGATTGTCTCTATTTTGTATAATGAAAACAGAAATCGTCCTAAATCCTACAACTTAAAAAATAAATAATTTTTTTATAGCTGTCACATTTTTCTGTACCACTGCTGGTGTTAATTGGTACCAGAAATTGATTTTTAGATCTAATTTATAATAATTTATATTATTTTTGAAAACAATCTAATTCGCTTTTTTTAATAACAAGCAATTCATTTATAAATTCTTTAACGTTGCTTGCAATTGGTTTCATGATTTTCTTTAAAAGGAATTTTGTTAATTTGACACTGACGTATCTAATTAGACCGAAGATCATACAATGCGAAACTGTTTATTTACAGTAATGTCCACTATGATAAACATGTTTATACTTGAGCACAATCATGTTTAAAAACGACATTAGTAAACACCATGGCAGAAACAATTATATTAAGGTTTTAAAGCATGAATACTGCTCGAAAATTATATCGGTTCAAGAGTTGAGCACTATACGAGCTATAATTTCTAATCGTAGCATTTTAGTATACAAATTTAAGAAAAAAAGTAGTTATTTGTTAATAATGTATTTTTATGTTTCAGTTTTCCAAAGATACGATGTTGGAACACACAATTCTACCACTCACAATATCGGATTTTCAAAAGTAAGTATTATTGTTTTTATACAAATTGTAAGTACAATTCCCACGAAGTCATGTTTAATAGAAGTCGATACCGTAATTTTTATACTAATGTAAATTACCTAATTCATATATAGCAAGAAAATTTAGTTTAGAAAAAATCAGCAAATCAGATAATTAAGATTTATTCAGATTTTTTAAATCAAAACTTCTTTGCCTGAAGATGTATTATCAAAGTAGATGACAATATAAATGATTATATATATATATATATATATATATATATATAATCATTTGCATTATATATATATATATATATATATATAATGCAAAATATTTTATACATTTCAAAATTCAATGTTTTATTTTAATAATAGCGCTACATATCCAGTTACATTGAAGGTATGATTTTGAATAACAAACATTTTTGTATATTAGTATAAATATGTATAAAACGTTTATATAGCCATAATGAATTTTTAGATTCATCTCAATTGAATTGTAAAACTGTTCACTTTAAACTTTAAACAAAATTGCTTCAAATAGCTGAAACAATATTTTTACAAAACTTTCAAACTTTACAGAAGTTTAGTTAACTTGTAACCCATTTTCTCTGCCTTAGGCACTGAGTGGATTTTTAATGATGATGACACAAAATGGGAAACTTCTCTATATATCGGACAACGCAGCGGAATATCTGGGACATTCGATGGTGAGACTTCAATTTTCTTAAAAAATATATATACATATATAATTTAGGAATAGAGTATATTATTTCTCTAGTGATTCACTGGTGTACAGGCTCTATAGTATTTCGTTTTAATTCAGAATGTTTCAGTTACATATTTAAGGTATCGCAAGATCGAAGAGGAACTATTATCAGTATGTATTCAATATATATGCGTAAGGTGCCAAGCAGACATTGCAAATTGACTCTAATAATTTAATACCTAATTCGTAATTTTGTATTCGTAATTGATTCAGTTCAGATATTGTTCATGTTAAAGACATTGGCTAACGTGATTGCATTTAGAATTTAAAAAAAGTTTGAAAACAATAGAATAGAAGGGAAAAATATCATCTGCAGCGGAATCAGGCTGCAGGGTTTCTGGTTTTGTACTTGCTAACCTGTGACTCAAATAGAGACTTATGTGTGCCTATGAATTTATTCAATGCAAACAAAAATGTTTAAATGACACTATTGTGGCTTCTGCAAAGCCTTTAAAATCACCCGCTACAGTGCAAGGAAAGGTTTTTTAATATTACAGCCCGAATGATATAGATTTATCTGTGTGAATCGATACATATATAAAAGCTGGTATAGCTAAATTTAATATAAAATAAATGATATTATCAATCGTTCAATATTTGAATTATAATTTAAAAATGCAGTGGTACCCCGACGTACGAGGGTTTTGCGTTTGAGGTACAAGCAATTCGTTGGTTCGACCTACGAGCACAATTTGAGATACGAGATTTGAGCGAGTTTTCTAAAAAAATGTTAATGGCTAAGTGAAAATATAAAAAAATCGTCAGTTGTAAAATGATTTTCTTACATAGAAATATTTTGGCTGTTAACAATGGCTTGGCCGTATGCTAACAAATTATTTTAGTTCGTCACTTCAAATAAATATTAATATTAATTGTGTAATAACGATTTACCCACGCGAATATATTGAGGATTATATTAATGTTTGAAATTTTGACCATACATTAACGGTGATTGTACAATAATATATGTGTGTTCGCGTTTTTGTACAATTAGAAAAAATTAATTACTTTTATAATCATGGGTCCAAAGAAAAGGGCATTGTCTATTGAATTAAAGTGAAATTATTGAAAAATATGAGGAAAGCAAAGATGTACGAGTGTAACACATCATAGATATGTACTGTGTTTAAACAGAAAGAGTTACAATAATTCAGTACAATAATTCATAAGAAGCTGTTTAAGCTCTAAAACTTTGTGGATAAAAATCACCCCGAAAAAGTTGCATTAGGGCAACTCGAGAATAGAAGTTGTTGGAACGACATGTCTAACTCATTTCTGCAATATCATGATGAATGACAAGAAAACAAATATTTAAAAAACCAACCAGTGGGGCGCATGGCATCGTGCCTTAAGGCAATTTTTTTTTTAAAAAGATCAACATTTTTGAAAAAAATTTACTCTGAAAAAATTAGATTTTTGAGAAACTATAAAATTTGACAAAAAAAAATAGACTTTTTAAAGAAAAAATTTATTTTGAAATGTTTTAGAAATTCTGAACTTTTTTTCAAAGCAATCATACTGCTTTAACTGCTTAGAGACGAAATATCGAAGCTCGTAAACTCCAACGGATAAACATTGATACGGAGCCCATAGGATTGTAAACAAAATTTATTAATATTGTTAAAATCTCTATAAAATTTCTGGTAATTTGATGTGCATATGTCTAATGATCATTTCTGACCGCCAAATGGCATTATTTTTTACTTTTTTTACTAGATCTCCAAAACCGCTAGACCTGCCTTCATGAAAATCAGTTCTTCAACTTGTCAATACAAGTAAAATGTTTTTTGAATTATTCAAATCGAATGCTCCGTTCTCTTAAAAACTGAGTTACCGTTTTTGGCACTTTTTGCCCCATATCTTTGGAACGGATAGACCTGCCTTCGCCAAAAACTAATCAGCACGTCTCCTTATCAATACGAATCGAATGTTTTTTGAATTATTCAAATCGCTTCATCCGTGTTCCCGAAATCGTCGACAAAAATTTGTATTCGCACACACACACATACATGCACATACACACACATACACACACACACATATATCAATTTTTTCTAAGGTATGCCAGAATGTTCAGAAGGTTTTGAAACGTAAAGATATATAAAAATTTTTATTTTCGATTTTTTTGCGATTACTATAACTTACCCTACGGGAAGTTAAAAAACACTATGATGGAAAGAATTAATGGCATCTCAAAGTATTTACATGAGAAAAATTGCTTCGACATACGAGCGTAGTTTGGAACGAATTAAATTCGTATGCCGGGGTACCACCCACTGTATATCAATATCAACTAGCTGTAAGTGGAATTCTGTCTTGAGGCAATTATGGCATCGTGCCTTAAGGCAAATTGCTGGAACTTCCCGTACCGTAACGAAATGTTCGAGGAATACTGAATGTTTTCAAATAGATTATTATAAATATTGTAGCATTGTCTAATATTTATAAGAATTATATAAACTGAATTGCAGAGTTGAAATTATTTGTAAAGTATATTAAAACTATAGTCAGAATTAAAAATAAAATATGAAATTTTCGTATACAAAAATCTAAAAAAAAAAATCGGAACAAAATTTTTTTTCCAAAATCAATTATTTTGTTAAGACAAGCAGAAAGTTTTTTGAATCATTTAAATCGGACGCTTAGTTCTCTCAAAAACTGCCATTTTTTACATATTTAGCTCCGTATCTTCGAAATGGCTGGGCCTGCCTTTGCCAAAAACTAATCAGCTCTTTTCCCTATCAATAGGAATCGAATGTTTTTTGAACCATTCAAATCGGTTGATCCGTGCGCCCTAAAACGTGACTGGAAATTTGTATCCATACACACACACACACACACACATCCATTTTTTCTGAGGTATGCCAAAATGTTCAGAAACCTTCAAAATGTCGAGAAATGTAAAAATTTTCAATTCCGATTTTCGGCCCATTACAATAACTTACCCTACGGGAAATCAAAAATTAGTCTTTAAAAAAACGAGTTATTAAAACCACTTTAACAAACTATTGCGCATTCTTCTATTGCAGGAGGATTTACTTATACACGGAGACAGCGTTTACGATATTATAGATAAACAGGACCATCAGATGATTCAGGCGGAATTAGGGCACAGTGCACTGGCCCAGACGCAAAGTAATCCGGGCATTTTGCCTGGCCAGGAGCGCGTTAGTTCGCCAAACTCCGGGCATAGACCGGGCAGCATAGCGGAAGGCGAGCGAAAGATGTTTCTATGTAGAATGAATGTATCTAGGAACGCAAGACGGCAAATGAGATTCGGGGATCAAAAAGTAAGAATATAAAAATGTTTAAAATACAAAAGAAAGACCAGATACTTGAATAATGATTTCGTAGCGATTATTTGAATTTGAGATATATAAAACCAATAGAAAATTTGAACAAACATTATTGGATTTATTCGGACAATGCATGAATTAATATAAAATAGAGCTATGACTTTTTTATTTGCAGATAGTTCTAGTGCAAGGGCACTTTTTATCGTTTCTGTCTTTGTGTAGTAGAAACGAACCCGTGTTTTTAGCCACTTGTTCGCCTGTTGCCATGCCAGAGACTAGGGAATGTGTAGTACATGGCGCTACAAACGTATTTACTACAATACATACAATGGATATGAAAGTGCTTCACGTAGATAAAAAGTAAGTTTAAAAAAATTAACGTTCAATCATAATCATACAAATATATTTATGTCCTGATCGAATGGGAGAACGCATGTGATCTGTTAATTTTTCACTCAAGTTCAAAACGTACCTAAGGTAGACGGCATATATATTGCAAAGAATAATAATAAATTTACACTTCGAGAAGAATAGAACCATCAAGTATCGATTTAACAGTTTTAAATTTATACCCGATTTCAAGGTGACATTTCGCGCACTAAATTCATTTGCTGAATTTGTATGGTCCATTCAGTTATGAGCTGCAAGGTGTTAATAATGAAAGTCCACAGAAAGAGAATTCTTTCATTGATTCTTCTTCGATAATGTTAAGCATAAAACAGTCTTATGCTATTTGCATGAAGCTGGTTTTAAAAAGTAATTGATTATTTTTCCCCAATCTAATATTATTTCTCGACGTAATCTCTGGGATATCTCAGTTACAAAATAAAAAAAATAGACACAGTAGGAAATACCTGTACCGGCATTCCGTCTGTAACGATTGATTGCTAAACGTAAGCGATTCGATAGAGATCTCGTTGATTTTGTATACATCGTTGTATGTCAATTTCTTGATATACTTTCGCATGATGAAGTTTGAAGTGTCCTATTCTTTACAATACAAACTCTACATATGAGTCGTCTAAATAATTATTATAATTTTTATATGTTTATGACTGATTAAAACAGTATAAAAATTATAATTTATTAATATTATTCTTTCACATAAATTAAAATATAAATTATTTTTTTAAAATTATCATAGATTAACATGTTCACGGACGTGGATGCTATAGCATTCATTTTCATTGTGATGCAGATTGACATGAATACATGCATTCATCGTATATAACGATTGAAAGATGATAATTATCATAATTTAATCGTTATATATAATACTATACCCTTAGTAATCAGATTATAACTGACTTATCAAATTATACTCTGACTACCCTTATAAACGGTGTTTAATCAAAGCTGGGATATAACAACCAATTTAAAATCAAAATGACTAGCATTTTTTGTACCTTACTGGAACGTGTTAATTGTATTTACATCATACATGTTTTAGTTTGATGTATCTGAATCTTATTTTGATTAATTAAAAACTATCATTTGATTGAACATTTTATTACGACAATCATTGTTGAAACCGATTGGTTTCAAAACTTAACAGCGCGTTAGCGAACTTAAATAAAATTGATTCACACGATCACGAATTATGATAATTGTGGATTTATAACAATAACAAAAGAACATTTAATTATTGTAATGCTTTATTAACTTGCCGTAGAAAAGTTATACAAATGATAAAAAAAATATTTAAACAATTTTTGATTAGCCACATTTAAACATTTTCTGAAAATTTTGAAACATCTTGTAAAAATGCATGTATGCTTGATCGAACACAATTTTTCGTCCATGTTTTCGCGGGAACATCCACATTAAACTCATACAGAGTTAGTGTTCGAAAAAGGCAGGTCTGACCGTATATCATACTTCAGAGATAGCGAAGAAAAACGCCCGCTCGGTTTAAGAGAACGGATTAACCGATTAGAATTATTGGTAACGGTGTGAAAAAGTGGCGGCAGAAGATCGAGAGTTCTCAAGAAAACATTCGCTTTTATTAACTTATTCCTGCTGTCAAAAATTTGATTTTTTTATACTGTTTAGGATTTTGCACTATCATTAAATTAATTGAATTATTTATTATTGATTCGAAGCTAAAAATAAGTTTTTAATTTACCTATTACTTATATAAAATGAAGATAATTCAAAAATTAAAATAACCTCTTTTCACCTATTAAAAATATTTTCAACAAATATTAAATTTCTGGATTTTTATCTGTTCAAATATTTTTATTTAACCAGTGAACTAAATTATTTATATTACAAACAAACAATGTTCGAAACAAAGACTGCTTTTTTATAAATATTAATAGCTAAATGATGAAAGATATTTGTGACGTGTTAGATTTTTATATAAATATTTTTTATATAACATTTGCAAATATATTAAGAACGTCGATATGTATATTGATATTTTGTGAATAGTGGTGAATTCTATTTGGGATTCACAAGAAGTGAACTGCAAGGAGCGTCATGGTATCAACTACTTCATTGGGAAATCGCCAGAGAAGCGCAGTCGAAGCATAGATTGAGTAAGCTAAATATCACTCATATTATATATATATATATATATATATATATATATATATATATATAAATGACTAATATTTTTCTGTAATATTTATACCAAATTTCAATTAGTTTTACATATTGATATTGCAACGCCTATTGCAATGTAGAAAAGAGCATGTAGGATAATCGCATTTTATAATTACTTCGTTTAACTATATTTGTATATGTTTCATCATATATACTTTCATCTGTAATAAATTAGGGTAGGGCGAGACACAAAGGTTCAATTTGACTTGGAGCAATTATATTGTAAAAACCAAACCAATTACATCCCAAAAATAAATATTAAACAAATATCATTGTGAAAATGTGTGTCTCTCTTCTTCAAACATTGTTGTTAAATTCTCAGTTTCTCAGTTTCACTGGTTTTTAAGTTATCGGCGGTGGACCTTTTTACCCGCGGACCTTTTTTACCCGCGGAAGCCCCGCTCTACCCTATCTGCTCTATGTAACTAACTATGAAATTGCTCATGATTTCACAAAATAATTAGCGTTTTTACGAATAAATATAGATTCTAACTATATGTTGTTATTCCAATACAACAAAAAAGATATGTTATAAATCAGATATTAATTTATTTGTATGTTTTACATTTGTCATAGCTTTCATTGCAGCGCGGCCTCATAGACCGCGGTGGGAATGTAGGTCACGAAAATATATGGTAGGAAGTGCTTTCTTATAATTATTGCACATTTAAGAGTATCAAATGCCCTTATACATATTTAATTTGAACACACCTGATTTATCAAATAATGTTGCTGTAAGTAGATTTTCAACTATCATGAAAATTAGATTCTTTTGTTTGCACGCATCATGCATCCACAGTGTAGAAATATTTCTTAGAAAATATAATATATAATTCGTAATAATAATTCTTTAATTTTATATTTTATTATTAGTAACGCAGTCGGAACAGGATCGATCGTGTATTCTGCTGCTACGGATGCAGAGGCGCACGGGCGACTGGTTGTGGGTGCATTGCGTTCTTCAAGTTAAAGACGGGGCTGACAGCGCGCAGCAACCGGTCATAGTTTGCACGAATCAAGTTCTAAGGTAAATCATCATAAAAGCCATATTCAACCATTTCCGAAAAAATGCATAGAATTATATTTTATATGGTTTATACCAAAATACTATATATACACAAATATTTATAACTAGTTAGTATTGGTATTTTGCCTTGAGGCAAGTTACATGAACTTCCCAATATGTGTAATCGACTTATTCAATAAAATATAAATTAATTTATGAGTGATTAAAAGTATTTAGAGTGAAAAAGAAAACGGCTCGGTAGATTTTCACCTAAAACTAATCATTATCATTCTCAACTAATATCTTTCAAACAGTTTTTGATTTTTTAAAATCTATTCGGTAGTATGAGCTTAAATGTGGACGAAAAGTTTAACACTTTTTTCCAAATTACAAAGAAACGGCTTGGCAGATAGTCGCACAAAACTGACAAACGATAGTCCTCATTGGGATACTCGAATGGTTTTTAAATTTCTGTAATCGGTTCAGACGTTTAAGGTCTAATTTTGGCAAATGCCAAAAACGATACTAACTTTTGCAAACTTTGAAGAATTTTAAAAATTAAACGACTTGTCGAAGGCCCTAATATTTTAGTATGCTCTATAAGACTATGGTATCTACCGTCTAAAAAATAATAATAAACATCGTCGAAAAAAATTTTTTTAACACTTTATTTACCAAAAACTAGTCAGGTCGATTCCCAATCAATATCTTTCGAACGGTTTTTGAATTTTCAAAATTGATTTAAAATTGCGGGATAAAACGCAATTGACAATGGACATAAAATTTTTCATATTTCTGCTATTTACAAAGAAACGGCTTGGCTGATCGTCGCGCAAAATTGATAAACGCTAGTCCTCATCAAGATAAATCGAATGACTTTTAAATTTTAGAAATCGGTCCAGTCGTTTTTGAGAAAACGTCGATTTACGGCAAAAAATCTTTTCCAAATTTGGTCTCATTCGATTCAGAATGGCTTGGATCGTCGAGAAAACATAAAATTAGCGAATCGGATTTTTTGATGAAAACATAAACTTCTCCTTCGGGAAGTTAAAAATATTGTTATAAATCTAATCAGCATGATATAATTGACAGCGGTTGAGTTTAAACTCCGAAACCCATCCATAAATTTTGGATTTAAACTATTTTTAATTTTATAATATTTTATATCGTATATAACAATGCTGATCGCGGGAACATTGATTATTAAAGAACAGAATTGTCGAACTGTGAGGACCATTCGAAATGGAGGGATCGATAAAAAATAAGTGATGAGTATACCATCCAGGATATTGGTAGAAAACCGAAAACTGGAAAATGTAGATCATTTGAAATACTAGTGCAGCTTATTAACTAAGTTTGGATACCTAATGCACGAAAGAGATCGTGACTAGAGTCGTAAGCACAGTTCACGGAAAAGAAGACACTACTGACAAGGAAACAGAGTCCTAATTTGCGGAAGAAAATGATTAAATGCTATATTTGAAGTATTGTTTTGTACAAATATATATAGGATGTCCGTCAAAAAAGTGAGAAGATAAAGTGAATCGACAATAAAACAAATAAAGGAGTTCTACAAGTATGGAAGAGAAAAGAACTAACTCTACAGGATGCGATAAGGAATTGAATGAAAACTGGCCTTCTACAGACCTTCATCAAAGAAAAATAGATAAAATGGCGGGACGAGCAACAACAATAATCATAAAATGCAACGATTACACTTATCTTCTTTTCTGCTGACATTTTCATTTTGAGACGATATTAACATTACACCACTATGGGCTGAATTTTGGTTTCATGAGCACATCAAAAAAAATTAGGGAAACAAAAAATCAGTTGTTATAATAATTAAAAAAAAACAGTTTAAACATTGTTTGTAGTATTAATTATGTGAATTTAAAATCACGGCGGCCTATATAGTTCGCGCTTCTGTTTATGAAAATCTTATTTCAAATTAAAAAGCGCAGCAAAGGTAATCAAAATTAGCATTAGCTTGACGACATTATAGAATTAAGATTAATGCGCCACTTTGTGAAACAAGCCATAATTATTTGGTAGAATTTCGAAAAATTTGGATTGTGACCTGAAAGTTACGTGGATTATAATAAGTGTATAGTGTATACTTTTTAAAATTCGTGTAAAACGGCAGATAATGCTTAATTAAAAAATAATACTTGGATGGAATTATTAGTAGAACCGAGATCAGGGGAGGCAGTTTTAATATAATTAGTACAATAATCATGTTCGCCTAATATTTATTTGGACAGTCCAATAATTATGTGATATTTATTTATACAACGGGAGGAAGCAGTAATTTCATCAAATTACAATGTCATGCATCCCTGGTTTGATTGAATTTTGACAAGATAAAATATGGATATCAGCATTTTTAAAAATATTTTGCGTATGTTATAACAATAAGTATTTATATATTGATAGTGATCGAGAAGCGGCAGTTTTGCGCCTGAATGGTTGGCTGTATAGTTTCTACTCTGTACAAAATAAGTTGCAATACGAGCTTTCCTACGATGTACAAAAATCAGGCGGATCACAGCATTCGGGATCTGCCTATGCATCGACTGCCTATTACCCAGGACATATGAGTATTCCTGCACAGCATCAATTAACTCCAGGTATGCATATTTAGTTGTATTATTGATTTAATTTATAGTGGAAAGCCGGGAAATAAATAAGTGTGAAACTAAATGAATCACTTACCACTGATTACTATAATAGATAGATAGAATAGATCGTTATTATAATTTAAGTTAGTTTTTAAAAGTTGAAATAAAAAAATTGAAGTTCCTAATTAGAATTTTAGTTACCAACAATTAGTTGAAAAATGCGAAATTTAAATTGTAACATATGAGCTGCTCAGTGCACACATCGATTAACTCCATAAAACAAAAAGTTGAGAAACGCGATGATTTAATGTATATTGTTTTTTAAAATTTCCCTGATAATATGAATTCAAATATAAATGCAGAAGCGTCGATGCACAGCCAGAACAGATACAGCGTTACTGAAACGATTTACATTATACAGAGTATGGAGTTAATCGAAATGGCTTCTGAAATAAATTACTTATTATTCAATGGCCAAAAAAAAAATTGCCATTTAACGGTGCTAATCTTTATTATTCCGGAAAGTTATTATAATTACTAAAAGTTATGATTATACCAAGTTCTTTCCCACTAATATCTCAGTTTTTTCAAAAAGTGGAGTTAGTCGATGTGTGCACTGAGCGGCTCATATATAAATAAATAAACACACACACACATATAATATATATATATATATATATATATATGTGTGTGTGTGTGTGTGTGTGGGTGGGTGTACATAATATTATAATTATGAACCTGTATACGGACATATCGTCGTCAAATGTTACCAACAGTCTTCTTCTTCAACTGCTATCCTCTGATTATACCCTTGCTTCATTTTTCTCTTTTTTTTCCTTGCTTCATCCACTTTACCACAAACAAACCGTATGTGTTCCAATTTTAAAACCAGTCTGTAACAAAAATTATATGAGTTATTTCATTAGTTGATAATATTATTGACTTCAACTGAAAACTTATGCTAAATATTTGGCTAATTTTGTTTGTTCGGAATATTGTTTAAATAAAAAGTTACATTCTCACGATCAGATTTGATAATGATATACAGTAAAAAAACAGATATATAATGCATTTCAATATCTTAAAAGTTTATAAACAATTTAATGATATAGATGTTGTTCTCAAGATGCAAATCATCTATGTATGTATATGTTTTATCGTAGCTACTTTAAACGCATACTATTATGTTGTGGATGAGGTCACGTATCTGCTGCTGTTCTTACCTTCTCTTTTTAACTTATGACCCGCCTTTCTTTGCAGACTTAAGGTCAGAGGCGTATCAGTGATTCTATGTGAAATATAACTTTTAATGATAGCTTATAAGTTTTTAACATATAATGATTGAAATTTTAACATGAAAAATTGTGATCGATTAAAATAATTAGTATTTAGAGATAAATAGATGTACAAATATCCATGCAGTATACCGAGTATTTACCTTACGTGCGGTTTTTAATTTGCACACTTTGCTTAAATTATTGTGGTTTCAAAAAATATAAACCTTTTTATATTTTATATAAAAATTTAAACAAATTAGATAGAACATATAGATCGTAATATATAAGATATAATATAATAACATAGATAAAAACGTATTACAAAAGTCCGCAATTCTGATTTAAAAAAATTGATTAATATGAAAAAAATCATATAAATAGCACTTGTTATTTAAGAGACCAATAACTTCACACATCTAAATCATTAAAGCTGATATCTCAGTATAGTGGTACTGATGATTTAAATAATTCAATAATTTTGTTCCTGTTTAATAAATTAGTAATCATATTTGGTCCTACTGCAAAAGATTGAAATCTGCTTCAATATTTGGATTTATAAGACCACAAAATCACGGAACTTATCAATCATATGCCTGAAGAAGTACCCACAAAGTAATATAATCACACACTTTTTAATAATTAAAAATATTCAATGGTTTAATAAGAGCAAACTTTATGTAGAAGTATTTAACATTTCAGTGAGACATAATTGAGAAGCTTTCATACATTTGAAGGCGTATAAAATCGAACTAAGTTTTGAAAATAAAAAGACCATTAAGAGTGAACATGACATAACGAATAGTCGAACACAAATATATATGTTTTATACTTCCCTGAGTCGAGTTGGAGTTTAACTCAGCTCACGGACCTGCCCTAGGGCAGTACTACCCATTATTTTATTTTATTATATATATATATATATATATATATATATATATAACCATTATCGGGTCATGGTTTATTTGTTATACTCCTCCGAAATGGCTTGACCGATTTTTATGAAATTATGTACCTACATTCAGAAAGACTTGGAATCGGCTAACATCTATTTTCGTGGTAAAGGTTATTCACTTCTAAGACTTTTTTTTATTTTTTGAACCAATTACTTTCATTTTTTTTAAATATAATATAAATTAAATTATAGTTACATTCATTAGTACTGAGAATCGGCTAACCCCCACATGGTGGTATTCATCTGTTTTTTTTTTTAATTTTTTGGCCTAATTTATCACTCTTCCGCTATTCTTTGAAATAATCATTTTAGTAACCTAATCATTTTTCATCCCGCTTTCAGTCAGTGAATGATGATCCAATATTGTTAGCATGGCAATTATAATCTGCTAATATAAACGTTATTTGTTTAAGTTGTAAAATGAATATTTCATTTTCTTATTCTCTAAATCAAATCAACATAATTTGTTATAATTTATGGACGTTATTCCTAGGTTCAACATAAGTTATGCTATTCATAAAAAGGAAGCAAAAATAAAACTATTGCACATTAAAAACATAAAAACAAATATTTTGCTACCGTTGTATCTTAACAAATTCATCTAGCAAATAATGTATAACAGATTTAATTCTCATTCTCTATTATTTCGTTGCTACTTATACCATGCAAAAATAAATTTGATTTGAAATCATTGACATATTATATATTTTATTACAGTAAAGTGATAGAAACGACAGCTAAGTTTTAAGAAGCAAAAATAATCAGAAATAATTAGCAAATGTCTGCGTTTCCTATAGTCATTGGGGTAAGTTTTTACACGCTTTGTATATACCTAAATATTTTATAACATAGTTTTTGTAGCTCAATTCATAACATATTTAAACTTTTATCAGATAATAATCATATACCAATATTATATAACGTTTTTTAATTATTTTATTCTGCGATCTGTTTATACAAAACAATGAGCAAAGATTATTGTTTATACAGAACAATGACCTATTCCACCATTGTAACAAAGATCTACAATTCTAAAATCTTCTACTTCATCCAGTTCAAAAAAAAAAAGAAAAATAGAAATCTTCAAAGTGTGGCGCCTACAACGCTGCTCCAAATGTATATATAATGAAATGGCACACAAATACATCATACAGTACAATTTTTTTATTTAATATATAAATTACGATAGTTATACGATGAAATAAAAAGTTCTGAGCTTTCTCTGTTACATGACTCCAACAAGCAATATAGTAAGTTCTATAAGACCATAGTATATATCGCCAAAAAAAGTTCCATAAAAATCGGCTTAATTTTTTTTTAACACTTTATTACAAGAAAACGACCCGACCGATCTTTACCAAAAACTAATCAGCACGATTCCCAACCAATATCTTTCGAACGGTTTTTGAATTTTCATAATCGATTCAGAATTGCGGGCTAAAACGTGGACGAAAATTTTTTCACTTTTCTGCTATTTATAAAGAAACGTATTGGCCGATCATTGCACAAAACTGACAGACGATAGTCCTCATCGAGATACATTAAGTGGCTTTTAAATTTTTGAAATCGATCCAGCCGTTTTTGAGAAAACGGCGATTTACGGCAAAAAATCTGTTGATGCATACGCACACGCACACACACACATATACTTTTTCCAAATTTGGTCTCATTCGATTCAGAATGGCTTGAAACGCCGAGAAAACATAAAATTAGCGAATCCGAAGTAAAAAAATGGTCTATCTCAAAAACACACCAAGAACCAACAAAAGATATCGAGAATTTTTTGGAAAACATTTAACATAAATTAGAAGACTAACGATTCTCACTTAGGACAGAATAAAAAATAAACTTTATATTTCATCAATATTCAATGTATATAAATAGATGCTAATGACTCGTGTTGAATATTTGATGTACATTACAATTTTTCAATATTAATTGATTTTAAAAATTTTGATTTTGATTTTCAAAATATGTTTCACCATCAAAATTAACAAACCTAAGTATATGTTTGAACATATTCAATGTACTTAGTTATGATAAAATATTTTAAATTAATAAATTATTCATAGTTCCAGATTGCATTTATGTTATATAATTTTAGGCAAGCATAATTTGGCTAGTCTTTTAATATCTAGGATAACTAACATTATTTCTAGACGAATTTGTTAAGATAAAATGGCAGCAAAATATTTCTTTTTATATTTAAAATATGTGCAATAGCTTTCCATTTGCTGCTTTTTTAAATAGCATAACTTATGTTGTACATACGATTAAGTCCACAAATCGTGACACATTATGTTGATTTAGAGAATAAGAAAATGAAATATTCATTTCACACGAAATACGTAAATAGAATATAGATTATTTTTATAACACTAATCCAATACTGCGCGTGTCAGTAATAAATAAGAGTACAAATTATATTTGCTTCTTGATTAGAAGAGTGTTATCATCCCACCTCCTATATTTGAGTAGGAAAAAATCAAATGTATTAATTATTGCGCAGATTTATTTAACCATTTCGCTACGAGACTGTTTTCCGCAGGAGCTACACTGCTGTATGAGGCAGCAAACCGCCCAAGTTTTTGTTACACAAAATATTTAAAGATTTTCTAATCATTATCAATAAAAATGAATTTAAAAATTAAAACTGATACTTTGGAAGAATTAAAAATTATAATAAATTAAAAATCTTAGCAATTTAATTCGGAAAGCAATGATGTCGCCCATAGGCGATACTCGTACACACAGGTCGTGGAGCGGGTGTCGTCTATAGTCGTCGCTCGTAGTG